TTGTAGCCCCCTGCTACCAAAACCTTGCCACGCAAACCCAAAATAAGGTGTTCAGTGGCAGTGCTGGACAGCAAGCACAGACATTATTCCCAGCTAGACATACAAAAGAGTCATTGTTCCCAAGGGCACATTAAGTGGTTTCCTAAAGTAGAAAACACTGCACATGTGACAAAACCAACATACGAATCAATGATATACAGCATAAACAGAAATTCAGCTTTTAGACTTAATTTAGAAGGTTAGAGAGGGAGCAATAGCTCTGTGAGACAAAATATTCCTACTACAGTTTGTGACTACTACATCATCATGTTCTTTCCGTTATTTTGACACCAGAAGATTAAGAAATCACCTTGATGTCAATCTAATCCTGTAGTTGCATTTCTGTACTTATATATAAGCCATCAGCTCATTAGTCTTCTGTAGAACAACATTTCTATCATCACCGTGTTTCCAAACATATGCAAGACACTTAGCAAAGCTTTCCTTCAGCTACGACAGCCTGAAGTTGCAGCCAGCAGAAGGTGATACCACTTCCTAAAAAACATCTTTTCTCCACAGAAAGAGCCACAGACTTTTCCCAACCACTTTACAGCTAGCAGAGCCCTGGCAGTCAAAAGGCATCTGCCAGGGACAAACTAGATTTTTCCTGTGGGGTGGTAGCACCTTCAAAGCAAAAGCATTCTACTGACATACCAATGTTGCAGTGGAGTTCTATAAACTTTTATACCAGCACCTGAAATACTTTGTCTCCCAAAGAGACTCAGAAAAGTTTATTGTCTTTTCCCACTAAGGTGAGTTGCTGTACCGACTGGCAAGAAGACACGCAAGTTTGGCACCACTGGTGATCCTGGCCAGTTTGTACAGTCCATCCATGGTACAGCCATGCCTGCTTCTTTTACTACTTTTTATGGGCGTGGTGTCAGTTAATCTTCCTGGTCCCTTTTGAACCTGCTGGTACTGTCTCCCTCCTATGGCAATAAATCTCAGAAGCTCGCTATCTGCTGTGTGAAATACCACCTTAATATAATTGGTCAATCTGAAGTGAAGGAGGAGTGGCCCCTGAACTAGTATTTGTACAATTTGGTAAATACCAGTTCTACATCCACTTGACTCACATCTTTCAAGATTCTGTAAACCTTGACCTTTCTCCCACCTCAGCCTTCTCTCCAAAATGAAAAGTCCCAGCATTTTTAGTCTCTCTTCACAAAGCAGTTGCTCCATTCCCTTGATCACACTAGTGGCCCTTCTTTTAACTCCACTGTGGACTCCTTCCAGATGTAGAAACTGGAACTGCACAATACTGAAAATGCAGGTCCACTGGTTTTACCTAGGAGCAAAGTAGCACCACCTGTCTTGTTTGCAATATCCTTCCATAAGATGCCTACCTAATATTTTGATGCAGCTTCACACTGTGTTAATGGTTTCAGAAGAGTCGTCAAAGATCTCTGCTCTGAGCTGTAACTACAAGATCAGTACCACGTATATTTTGGTCACAAACACATAAATCTGTACTGGAACTCATCTCCCCCTTTTGCCCATGGAAGGATCTCACAAAACTGAACTTCTTGCCACTGGACCAATGTTAGACTACTTGAGAAAGCTCAGTATGATCTGCAAACGTGAGTGATTTAATTGTTCACTCCCTCCCTCCTCTGAAACACTGCTAAACTTGCTGAATAAAATCACTCAGGGACTGCCAATACTGAAATTCCTCTTCCTGACAGGAGCCCATTAAGTCTTAACCCTTCACTTCCTATCTTTCTCAATTCATAAAGGGATCCCTTATGTTTCTCTGGAACCAATGTAACATTTTAAGTTGTACTCACATATTTCTCCATGTAAGAAAATATTTCAAAAGGTTATCAAAGGGCTAGCATAAGCCTACAAGTTCTGTGCAGGGATGGGAAAAGCAAAACCAAAAAATTTCTTCCTTTCCATCATTGTGTTGGGTTTACCTAGGAAGGTTTTGGGCAGGGGAAAGGCTACAGGGGTGGCTGCTGTAAGAAGCTGCCAGAAGCTTCCCCCATATCAGACAAAGCCAATGCCAGCTGGCTACAAGACAAATCTGCCGCTGGCCGAGGCTAAGCCCATCACTGACAGTGAAAATATATTTAAGAAGGAAAAAAAACTGTGCAACAGCAGCCAGGAAGAGGGGAATGAGATGATGTGAGAGGAACAACTCTGCAGACACCCAGGTCAGTGAAGAAGGAGGGGGAGGAGGTGCTCCAGGTGTCAGAGCAGAGATTCCCCTACAGCTCATGAAGACAACCATGGTGTTATGAGCAAAAAAGCAAGTGCAGATTCCTCAAGGATGAGGCACAGCACTCAACAACTGTAAGTTTTGGCTTTATGGAAAGCATAGCATTACCACAGTGGGAGCCCCGAGATGTCGCTGCTCATCAAGTGGGAACCCACACTGGAGCAGTCTGTTCCTGAAGGACTGCACCTCATTGCTGTGGTTTAGCCCCAGGTGGCAGCTAAGCCCCATGCAGCTGCTCACCTGCTCCCCCCCCCAGCCAAATG